GTACTGAGTTGGGACCGACGACCACTGAGAACAGGAAAATTGAATAAAATGAAACACCATCAATGAAAATATATTTTCTTGATGGTGTTTCATTTTTTTACGCCTATTCTGAATAGTCGTCGTTGCCCCCAATTGAGGACATGACCCACTTGCAGGAGGGATTATTTTTTCTTGTCGATAGGGGTAGTAGTTTAAGTCTGTCAGTATCCGCACTTCTTTTGTCGATCTCTAGTGCGGTCACTCTTTGTTTGCATGGTGTGGATAGAACTCCGCCGGAATCCGGACTTCAACGAAAGTCGTCGTCTGGTTTCTGAAGCTTTTTATAGTCATCCTTTGTTTATCGCGGGGGTGTCAAGCTCGGATGCGCTCTTTGCTTTGTTGTCCAGCCACAAGCACACGTCTCGGTGCTTAGTGTCATAGAGACTCGGTACTCAATACTGATTTCTTACAAATTGTGATGCTGTTTTCTTGCCACGACAAACCGTCCGCAATCTCTTTTATATCGAAGATCATTCCACGGGCCCCGTGCTGCAGCAAGACAATGCACCAACACTCTGCGACCTTCTCCTTTGCACAACCACAAACACTGTTACACTCGGCTGTAGCCGCCATCGTCTCTGACACAATTACTACAATGACATGGTTTCTGCATCCATGTGTGCAGAGGAATGTCCCACCGTTCCTGACTGCAGGCACCCTCCGCATCCAGACACTATATGTCCATTTTGCGGCCATGGGCGCTATACTGAATGCATGCTCTTTGGTGGTGACCGTTCTTCTTTCATTTTGACCTGCAATCGACATGCCATTTGTCGGGGGCGTATGGCGAGCATGCTCAATGCCACCCGTCGCGGCAATTGTCGCACTGAGAATGCTCAGCTAGGTCTTCCATGTGTTCATCCACGTCATCCTCACAATGTATGTCCTCTCTGTCGTCAAGGACAGACTCATTCTTGAGCCTTTTCTTATCCTCTTTTGCCTTCATCTTCACTCCACACTACATACTTTCCCTTTCTTTCCCTTTATCGTTCTTTGTTTGTCTGCTGTCCATCTCTCCTCCCTGTGTTTATCCCCTCCCACTTCACTCTGCCTCTTTCTCACATCGTACAAGTGGGCTGTTATGGCACACGGGGATGGGGGCAGCTCGCACTCAACTTCATCAACATGGCGAGCCTTGTACGTGAGAGGCACGGTGAAAGGGGAGTCAAAAGAAGAATGAGTAAAATGAATGGTTTCACTATGCCCTTCATGTTTGTCTTGGTTTTATTTATTTATTTATTTATTTTAATTTTTGCCGTTTGTTTTGCAAATTGCGCTCTTTTAGTTCATAGTTATGTGACTATATAGATATATATATTCCGACGAAACAGTTTGTCACAGCCCCTCGTTTGTTGTCCTCTTCTCTCTCTCTGCCTACGGTTTTACCGGCCAGTTCTGTTTGTGACGATATATGCCCCTTGTTTGTTGTCCTCTTCTCTCTCTCTGCCTACGGTTTACCGGGCAGTTCTGTTTGTGATGATATATATGGCTGTTATGGCATACGGGGATGGGGGCAGCTCGCGCTCAACTTCATCAACGTGGCGAGCCTTGTACGTTAGAGGCACAGTGGAGGAGGCGTTAAGAAGACTGAGAAACTGAATGATTTCAATGTGTCTTTGTTTTTTGATCCTTTGATTCAATGTAAATAATTTTTGTAAAAGACTGAAAGAAATAATAATACTGTGAAACAAAGTGTCATTCTGGTTTGTCTGTCTCTTTGCCTGTCTTTCCTTTCATTTTTCTTTTCTTTGCTCATCTT